ATATTTTCCCATTCTTTTCTTGCTCACATTGTTTCCAATGAGAGGGCAACTGTTAGCCTGATAGAATATCCTTTGTAGGTAACTTATCATTTCTCTTTTGTGAGTCTGAGTATGTTGTCTTTGTTTGTAGTTTTGGTCAAACTGGGCATAATGTATCTTGAAGATCTTCTTGGGTTGATTCTATTTGGGGTCCTATGTATTTCTTGGGTAGGATCTTTTAATGCCTTGCTAGGTTTGGGAAGTTTTCTTCCAGGATTTCATGGAATAGATGATCAATGCCCTTATGAGTCTCTTCACCTTCTGGGATATCAATTATCTGGATGTTTGGGCATTTAATGGTATCTTGTATTTCTCATATATTATTCTCATATTTTTGGACTATTTTCTCAGTCTTTGTGGTGGATTTTTCTAGGCCAGAGATTCTGCCTTCTACATCTGAGATCCGATCTGTATGATCTAGTCGTTTTTTAATACTTACAAGGGAGGTTTCAATTTCCTGTAGTACAGCCTTAATCTCTAAGAGCACCATTTCATTATTTTTTATGATGTGTATTTCCTCTTTCAGATTGTGCAAGAACTTCCTCACCTCTTAGAACTCCCTCGACTCTATTCTCCTTACCTCTTCTGGAGTTCATTGTCTCTCTTCTCTTGCATCTCTGTTAACTTTGTCACTATGAATATTATAAATTCTTTATCAGACATTTCCACCAGTTCCATTGTTTGTGGGCAAAGAGGAATTTTTATTTGTCCTTGTGGGGGAAATATTATCTTGGGTTCTCATATTTCTTGTGCCTTTGTGGTGTTTCTCTCTCTTTATGTCTCTCTCTCTGTCTCCCTCTAGCTCTTGGTCTCTCTCCTCACACACACCAACATATTCTATAATGAATAAAATTTTTTTCAGCTACCTGTGTAATGCATTGTATATGGAAAGACAAATTTAAACAAATAATTGAACAAATATAACATTGCCTTAGAGTCAGACGTAGCCTTAAATATGATGAAGCTAACTTTTTGTTCATACATTGTATTAACTATGCACTGTGTTCTTACATATCCTGTTCATCTACTTGTTGAAGTACATAAAATTGACATCCATGTGGACGTATATTTGTTCATTGGGGTGAAGGTTTGACTGCTGTGTTTCATTAAACATCTTCCTGTTTCTCCTTGAATACTTCCTGTGCTGACTGTAATGATAACTCCTTGAAGTGCTTAAAAATGAATTACTGTCCCCTCTTAAATTTTGGTATAACTGCTGAAGTGATAGTGAATGAACAAATATCAATATCATCCAATATATGTTTCCTTTGTACTTGATTCTCTTCAAAATGCATGATCAAAGGATGACTCACAAGAGCTTGAATTCCCATCCCAGTCATTTGATTCAAGGTCTCAAATTTCCTGTAAAAATATATGTCCTTTCAGTTTCTCCTAGTTACCTCTAATGGAACATCAGTTTAGTCACTTTTTAATTTTTCTTTTATTTTAGCTCGCTATTGAGTGAGTACACTTGTCAAAGAGAGACAGAGAGAAAGAGGGAGAGAGAGAGAAAGTGAGAAATCACTCCCCAGGGGAGATGGCCACACTACAATCCCATGTTCTCCAGTCTCCTCTTAGTGATTTGGACACAGGAGCACATGCATCCAGCATGATTTTCAATTCACTGAGCTCAGAACTCTAACTGGGCAGTCAGCCTTGTGGAATCCTGCACTTTAACCTCCATGCCCCTGCTGACCCATGACAATTAAATTTTAGCTTATGGTTGGTGAAAGGTGCTAATGACCTTTGGAGGCAGGAGAGTTTCACAGAAAACGTGTAATAAAGATGGATTCATTACACTTTCAACTTGGTCTCTTGAGAACAGTAAATAAGTAGGAAAATTGTCTTTCCTTTCCACACCAATATCCATGAGGGAAGTCAGCTACTAAGAGGTTGTAGTTATAAGGATGAAACGTACTTAATGAGCAGATATAGGGAGGTGTAAATATTTCTTCTGTCATTGTCCATAAGGAGGACAGTCTTAGGTTGGAAAAGACATAGTAATTATTTTTGGATTTGAGATATTTGAGATAATTTGGCTAGGGAACTGGGCTTAATTCTTTCATTGTGTCTTGTCTGGGGACATAACTTGAATTTCCATCATCATCCATCCAGGGAGAAATTCACCTTTCTCCAAGAAGATTGTTCTGTCTAAGACCCAGTACAAGTGAGTCTGAGAGCCTGGTAGGTACTGCAGGACTGGTTCAGAGATTATGAATGCCAAGGACGTCTGCCTGAGATCACCTGAGAGTCAAACCAGTCTAGCAAGAGCCAAGAGATTGATGCATTTTGTTCCCTGTCTGACAAAAGTATTAAATTATATTATATTAAATAAGTACATGCAGGAAGTGTTCTTTTCCTTTGAGAGTATTAAAAAATTTTTTTAAAAAAGATGATGGAGGCTGTGCTGAAAGAGTCAATGTTCTTGAAAAGGAAAGGGAATAAAAAGTTCCAAATATACCAGTGACAGAGACTCCAAGCAGAGGGAAGCAGAATATGTAAAAGTGAATATTGAAGCTCTGGATTCTGTTTAACGTCAAATGAAGGTCAGTGCTTGGGAGCTCAGTGTGGGCAGGTTGGAAAGTGTAGAGGAGAAAGGGATTGACTGAAGGATATAGAAACACAGTAAACAGATGTAAATACAGATATAGTGTATGTGAAAGAGGAGGGTTTGAGGAAAAACAATGAGAAGAGATGGGATTTTTAA